TACATGACTAATACATAATATATATACATAAAAAGTGCCTTGAGAGGCATTAAACACCACTTATACGCTAGAATAATACACATTTATGCTAAAATTACATCATACAACTTCTGTGGCAAATTACTTAGGTACAACTGACAATAATAAAAAAGTACAATTACATCATGTGCAACAACAATACACAATTCACAGATAAAGATGGCTAGAGTTAATGGCCTACTGTATCAGCCCACTGGGCCTGGCAGAAACGACCCAAGAATGTATCCCGCATTACATGAAAAGATTATTTCTAATGTGTATCTTATATGGTCACATGATGGATAATAAAAAGCGTTACACCAATTAAAATCAGTGCACTTGTTTCCATCCATTGTTCATCTCTGATGGAGTAGAAAGGAAACATATGTTCCATATCAATTTAATATCTTACTTTCCATTGATAACTCACATGCCCTTTTCCCAACAAGACATCCCCGTGCTTTAGTCCTGAATAGAACAAAAGACATTCACATAAAGCTGGAGCATTTCAATTTGTTCTTTTGTCCCTCAAATTTGCATAGTACAGAATCCATTTTGGTTGTTGATGTGTCCTTCATACTATTTCTGGTCTGCTATTTTAAAGTGACATTTATACCAACTGTTCTATCACAGGAAACACTTATTACAGCTGGCGACAGCAGCACAGGCACATGACCCCCACAAATTACTAACAAAGTCTTACTAGTACTGTATTCACTCCAATATGAGCACATAGTCCTTAGGCCACATCAATTTAATTTGTTGGTTCTCGGATTCGCCAGCTTCATTTTTTTCTGATTTGCAAAAAAAATTAAAAATTCAGAATCAACTGCAAAATGTTCATATTTTGCCCTTAGCAGTTGAAAACAGTCCTTTAAGTTGTTACAGTTATTCCATCTTTCAATGCAGTGGTATCATTAATATAAAGTTCAAAATTCATCATTTAAATTTTGAACCAGCCTGGTGTGTTGACTTCATGGCTCCTATTGTACGATTTTGGGCCATAATAGGATGCCTAGGCTTGTTTTTATTTTTTTCGCCCGCCCACTCCATTATTTTTCTAGAAAAATCCGTTAACCAAAACATTAAATTGGTGTGACCTTATCACAGTCTGTAATGCTGTTGCCATATACATTGTATTAAAAAAAAAACGAATTAAAGAATAGATTAGAATAGATTAAATTAAAGAATACATTAAAATAGCAGTTACTTTGTTCCTATTACCTGGTCACATATTGTATATCTACTTTTTACCCTGTATGTATACCAACGTTATTAGATTTAAGTAGAGATAGTAGGTTCGATAAGTATATCGTACACGCAGAAGTTGTTAGCAAATAGTCTCATATCACCACATTTTTCTTGTCAATGTCTGTTTGCAATTAGCCCTCGGGCATGAATTTGCAATAAACATCAATATAGGCAGGAATTTAAAAAAAACGCTTGTACATTGTAATTCCTTCAAAAGAAGAACAGACTGATATGCTAAAAGCCATGATACGGATTATTTCAAAGCAGCTTATTATTGCAGCTTATTTTTTTTGTGTGTGTTTTTAGATTTTTTTTATCGGGCTTACTTATTTTTTTTCCAGTCAAACTTCCGGTACTGGTCATTGTATACTGCCCTGCCAATGATCCTTACTGTTTTGGCAATTTCATACTGACTTGCACTAAGTTGCAGCCACCAAAACATTTGCTTGGAGATTAGATATGGATGAGTTCTTGTCATCAAAATTCCTCAGAAAAAATTGTGCTATAAGTATAAGGCCACACCAATTTAATTTCTTGGTTAACAGATTTTTCTAAAAAAATAATGGAGCGGGCGGGCGAAAAAATAAATAAAAATAAAAACTGCCTTTGCATCCTATTATGGCCCGAAATGGTATGATAGGAGCCAATAAGTCAACACATCTGGCTGGTTCAAAATATAAACAATGAATTTTGAAGTTTTAATGATACCACTGCATTGAAAGATGGGATAACTGTAACAACTAGGATGAAAAGGACTGTTTTCAACTGTTCAAGGCAAAATATGAGCATTTTGCAGTTCATTCTGAATTTTTATTTTTATTTGCAAATCAGAAAAAAATGAAGCGGGCGAATCCGTTAACCAATAAATTAAATTGGTGTGGCCTAATGATAATATGTGCTCTAACATGTGCTCTAACATTCAAATGCTGACATGCTGTACGCAATGACTATTGCAACCCAAGACACAGTCTGAGCCCTCTTGGTTCTCAACTTCCCAGCTTCTTGGTTCCCAGCTTCTCTCAACCAAGGAAAGAGAACCAAAGGTCACTCCTTGATCACATTGTGTGTGTATGTAGTATCTACAGTGTGTGTGTTTGTATCTGTGTTAAGAGTGGCGAATGTAAACACAGGACACCCTTGAGATGTTTTCCCTCTGTAAGAAGGTGTTCAAGACTCATTTTGGATTCTTGACTACTTGGGGGATGACTTCAAACATGCAAAGACATCTAGGTATTGATATGTTAACAATCCTCTTGTTCTCGGTACTTAACTGGATTTGCATGTTTACAACAACAACATATAGTTAAAGGCTTGACTGCCGCTTGAGAGCCATTCTGTTTGCTCAAATCCTGACTTCTCTAGCTAAGCTTCCTTAGGCCACAGCAAGTAATTTTTATGGATGACATCAGCGCGCGCATTAATTTTCGCCTGATTTTGGAGAAAAAAAACAAGAAATTTTGTTGCCTTCTGACAGTGGTCACCATGCCGAAAATAGGCCAAGATGTCTGTTGCCATGCCGGAAGGTGGATGGCAGATAACTATAAAGAGAGGAGACAAGACAAGTCTCTGATTTTATGTTTTGTTTCTTACTTTGATGCAGTGATATGTGATGTTGGCTGTGTATATGTGATGTTCCCATTGAATCAAAACCATTTGTACAATGATTGAGTCAAAATTTCAAAATGTAAGAACCTTGTTTTTTTCGGCCCGCCTTGTTTTTTTTTTCGCCCGCTCGCATTAGATTTGGAGTCTGCGGAGGATGTCATCCATAAAATTTACTTGCTGTGGCCTAAGCAGTATACTGCAGGAGTCAAACAGACACCTGTACAAGTAAAAGAAGACTGAATGTGGATTTCAAGCTAGCTGTACTGTGCTCTTTCAAGTTAAGTCTTTGTTTTGATGTAAATGCGACGTAACTTTTAACTTAGCTTAGGACAGGAAGTCCTGGAAATAGTGGGCGTCCTTGAACATAACCTTGGCCTTTTGTCCACTTCCGGTTGTCAGGGCCAACATCAGTTCAAGCTATGCGCATATATATGCAAGGTGGCTGCCCTGGTTAGAATCATGTAAAGGTAAATCACTTGACTTTAGCTACATGCATTGTCCCAACACTAGCTTTAAAAATGTGCCCTGGTTTATGGTATGGAGGTAACAGGAATGAAGGGCTTTTTTTTTACCTGTCAAGTACCCGTAAGGTCATTCAAGGAGAAAGATTAAATGAGCGAGGAGGAGGGGCATGTCTTTGACAAATATACATTTGTACCAGTAACCTCTCACCTATATTTCATATGTGCATGAACCTGGCCTCTATGAAAAGCGGCCGAAATAGCGGCCGATTAGAGCATGTAACACAGTTACAGATCGAGTTGAAATAAAGGCTCAAATCAAAGAAACAAACAAATCATACCACGTTTTGTTACGTTTTCTGGGGGTCTAGCCCCCTATTTTATTCCTTCTGGACTACCCCTTACAAGTGTCTGTATCCTATTACGCGTCCCCCCACACTAATGAACTGATAAAGGGTAACACGAGGAGAGGCAAGTCCACATCTTTTGTTGTTCGGCAGATAACGCTTTACCTAGCGCCTGTAGAGCCTGTGCACTTCATAACTTGCTATAAATTGTTATTATTTTGTCCCCTTTTTGACACACTAATTTTTGCGCTCGTGGTGCATTAATTTAAAACTACTTCAAACTGTGACAACTATTTTGTTCGAGCACCTGCTGGGGACAAAGGGCACAAAGGTGAGGCTTGGAGTAACTAACGTTACATGGATTTAAACTTTTGCCCAAGTCTCCAGTTGCAAAGGTTTTCTGACAAATTATGCCGTATGCAAAAACGATCGAGGTGGCTTCTTCCTGTGTGTGCAATTTACATGGTTCTGTAAAGTATGGTAATAATATAACGTATACGTTATATGAAGCACGTAGGCCATATTATAAATTTTCTGTGGAGCTACTATGTCACATAAGTCAACTCTGCCTCATTAAAGGTTCTTTCGGAGACAGCAGGTTGAGGTTAATTTTGATCAACGGGCTCCAAAGTTGCCGCCGTATCTATACTGCTCCATTTCGGTAGAATCCAACCCAAATATAGCCACGTACTCCATAGTAACAAAGTCGCCCGCGGGTCGTCTGAAGACATGGGCCCGTATCAGGCTATCCCTAACTCTGACTGCTGAACCAACAACGTGGTTCCACCATGTGCGTACCGTATGCGTTAACTTTTCCCACTTATCATGTCACACTTACAGTTTCTGTGCTGAAGGGACGCTGTAGAGCCAAGGGCAGCAGGAGCTTGCCGCAGGGTCGACTGCGAAGCTGACACGATACGGGAAACCTTGGTAAGAACGCCCGCCATTTTCCGGCTTTTTGGTAGAAGAGACCCGAGGACAGAAAGGGGCGGAGATAGTCTGTGACTGACAGGTGTATCTCTGTGTTGATTGGTTAAAAATGACCTACGAACTTTTGAACTCGGCGCTTGCAACGTCACGAGCTAGTGTAAAAGACGAAATATTTTGAAAGTGAACGAAATGCAGTTTTAGCGGGAGATCAAAATAAGTTTTTTATCACAAAGTTTGCAACAAATCGAAAAAAATATGAGAGAACGCGTGTTTCTCTTATCTAAAAAACTATCTGAAACACAAATCAACGGGTATACGGAATGGATCACTGTAAAAAAAATATATTTTATGATTCCTGTACCAAATTTTTATTTCCGTCTTTTACGCAAAGCTGATGTGGGTAAGGAGACACCGGAGTAGATAGAGACTGGGTGCCCGAGCACTAGAATATGTATAGACGCTGGCTTGCAGTTTTAGGTCACTGATGCCGTGTTGACGAGGCCGACTGGCCGCTCCAAACTGCTGGTTGCTGCTTGTAGTTGAAACACGAGCACACAGCGCCCGGGAACTGCCACATCTACCGGCGCCGGCTACTGCACCGTACGGGAAAGAAGCGGCCTTTCGCTGTCGCCGGCGGTCGGTCTTCGTGTTAAGGTCGACTGGCACAGCCTGACATTATCCATAGGTAGGTAGAAAACCCGGGAAGCGTGCATGCACCGTACTTGACGCTGCAGGGAAGGCGGGATCATGCGTGGCAGCAGGCCGGTCGCGTTAGCGTAGGCGCGCGGGTCAAGTTCCCAATATGGCGTCGGTTGGGAGGGGGGAGTGACAAGGACAGTCTTGTATGGGCATAATCGCACTGTTTTGTGAACGGCACGCGACACACACCATCAATTTTAATCCATAAGTACACGTGCTAATGAGAAAAAGGTGGTGGGCTTGAAAATTGGCGCCAATTAATATGCTACCATGGACACAGCCTGTAACAAAGAAGCAGTTGTACCAGTGATTATGTGACATGGTCAAACAACTTTACCGTTTTGTCAGGGTTAAGATTTGTTGAATTCTTCACTTGACAGGCCTTGATTGAATTATAGCACTGTTCTGTGGATACGTGCCCTTCTTTGGGTGAAAAAGCCAGTCCCCATGCTACTTGTACTGTGCCTTTGGCAATTGAACTTTGACCACCATTGTTCCCCATTAAATAAAAACAGCCTACAAATGTTATGTGCATTCATACTCTCCAAGCAGAGGTTTGGGTTTTGGGGGTATTTTTAGCGTGTTTTTAGGCTTTTTTTATTGGGATTTTTCTTATGCACTGAATTTTTTTTCCCACCAAACCCAAGCACATTGATTGAAGCTTTCGACTGCCTGCAGAGGTTGGGTTTGGTGGGAAAAAAAATTAAGTGCAAAAGAGAAACCCCGATAGAAAGCCTAAAAAAAACCGATAAAAACACCCGCAAAATCCAAACCTCTGCTTGGAGAGTAGTGCATTCAATCATTTATCTAATATTATTACGGCTTGGAAATTTGTTTAACTCAACTCAACTGTTTACTTTGTTGATGAACAACAGCATCGAATAGCTGTTTGTTTTGCATAACTGGCAGTTTATTGGCGCATTGTGCGTAGAGCGTATTCGCCGTTTTAATTGTGCGTAATGCGTTGTAGCCACTTAAGCGTAATCGAGAGGTTTCCTGAATTCAGCATAATACGTAGCCAGCTCTCAAAATTTAGTGTAGAGCGTCCCCCCCCCCCCTCCATGCAGGCCCCCCCAAAGCAGTGCAGCCGCTAGCTCAGCTGTGCCGACTCTTGAATCTTGAATTTCTAACTCTTCAACATATGAAATGATGATCATGAAGATGTGACAAGAAATGGCAGTAAATGTCAGTATCAGACAGATTTCCTCATCCAGCATATTTTTTGTTTTCCTGCCCTGAAATTGGACGCATCAGTACCCAAAGAGGAAATGGAAATGATATATTATTATTTGTAATGGTACTAGTAACTGTCACACAGATGTATTGCTTGCACCTACTCTCATCTGCCAAGTAAACATACGGGTACATTTATTTTTTTTTGGCCCAAACATCCACCCAGTACGTTCTTATTTTGCACAGTACGTTTATTAATTTTTTGAAAACCAGTAATTTTTTTAAACTTCGTGTGAAAAAAATTGACAAATCATCGACGTGAAGACGTTTATAAACGCATATTGTAGCGAGAAACTTGTCATTTTCGGGCCGGTTTTTGCAATCACCGCGTGCATAAATTCGTCTGAATGTTCTATTGTCATGGGTGGTGCTTATCAAAATACAAAATATTAAATGCTCTTTTTTATTGTCTATTTAAATTCCTAATTGCAAATAACAGTTAAAGATTTGTGCATATATCAGTAAGGGTGCATTTTAGTACAAGAGACACAGGTTACCCGTCAATTTTGGTAATTTTCCGGGGGGGTACGTTTATTCCGGGGGTATGTTTATTTGATTTTGAAGATTTGTCCGGGGGGGTACGTTTATTCCGGGGGGTATGTTTATTCGGCATATGAGAGTAAGAGTAAGACATATTTGGGAATCAAGATCTTATCACAAGAAGTTGAAAATATGCCTTCAAGAAAAAAAACTGATCAGGTGAGAAGTATGTTTGAAATGAGACTTGAATGTTGTGTTCCCTGTTTCCCGACCAACCCTAGAAAAACCGCAGACACTAGACTTTTTTGGGGGTGCAAGGGACATAATTTTTCAAGCTTAGGCCACACCAATTTAATTTGTTGGTTCTCAGATTTTTTCGGAAAAAATACGAAGCGACAGGGCGAAAAAAAATAAAAATAAAAACAGGTTTAGGCATCCTATTGTAGGCTTAAAATTGCTACGAAATGAGCCATGAAGTCAACACAACAGCCTGGGTTAAAATTCAAACATTGAATTTTGAACTTTTAATCAAACCACTGCAATGATAGATGGGAAAACAGTATCAACTAGTAACAAAAGGACTTTCCTCAACTGTTGGAAGCAAAACATGAGCATTTTTCAGTTGATTCAGAACCAGAATTTTTTTTTTTTTTGCAAATCAGAAAAAAACGAAGAGGCGAATCCGAGAACCAACAAATTAAATTGGTGTGGCCTTAGCAACCTTTGCTAGCTCCATGATCTGACACTGAGTGATAAAATGTTGTACAATTGATTTTCTAACATTGACATTTAAAATAAAAGTGTCCTCATACAAGTTTTCTTTGTGAAATTGTATAAGTTGAACCCCTATATAGGTATCACTGATGTCTAAAAATGTAAAAAAAAATAAATAAATAATAAAAAAAAGATACCCACCGACTCTAATATTTTCAGGACTGAAACTGGAAACAACATTTTTTTTTCCTAGGCCTATTTTGTCAGCTACTGCTGCATAGCTGCAATGGCAGTTATAAGATATATACTGGCTCTGTCATTGATACAGACACAGTTACAGATATAGTGTGTATCCCATTGTTTCACCTGTGCAGCTGTGGGTTTGTTTACCCACCAGATCATCATGTATCTGCAGGTATAGGTTTCCTTTGTGAAGGAACCTCCTGTTTGTTTAGTTAGCCTACTAGTATCTGATGTACCACAGTAAGGCCACACCAATTTAATTTGTTGTTTCTCGGATGTTTTCAGAAAAAATCAGAAGCGACAGGGTGAAATAAAAATAAAATAAAAAAACAGGTCAAGGCCCCCCATGATAGCCGGAAATGTTACAATATGAGCCATGAAGTGAACATACCAGGCTGGTTTATAATTAAAACAATAGATTTTGAACTTTTAATGAAACAAAATTGCATTGTTACATTGAAAAGGACTTTTTGGGGGCCAAACTATATGTCTTTCATTGAGCATTTTGCAGTTAATTTAGAACAATTTTTTTTTTTTTGCAAATCAGAAAAAAATGGACAGGGCAATCCGAGAAGCAACAAATTAAATTGGTGTGGCCTAAGGGAGGAAAGGCTAAAAGGGAAAGAAAAGCCCAGGAGGCTTCATACCAGTAATTGTTAAGTTTTCTGTATGTTTGACCTGCTCCTTGGTTGTCATGCTAATAGTAATAGTATACTAATACAGTAACTCATCAGTTGCCAAAGTGCATGACCCCTTAGCTTCCTTAAATCTTAGAGCACAATCTTACTTTTTTTTGTTCTTTGATACTTGTCATCAAACTTGATAGAATCCACTATGTATAATCCTTCAAATAAAACAAGATCACAGAAAAATGTTTTTTAGTGTACACATCTGTTCCTTTTATGAATAAAATGTTTGAAATTCCTTTTGGGCTCATCAGATAAAAATAACTTACATGTACACACTTGCTCTTGTCTCTGTCAGGCTGGTTTAAGTCAATTTTGGGCTTCTTCAGTTGGCTCTTTCTATGGCATGTTGCAGTTGTGGGAAGTCATGTGAAAGGAAAATTTGTATAATCTTTGATATAGGGTTTACAAATATGGCCAAAGATATTTTGTACCTTTAGAGTGCAAGAAAAATTCAAGCAAGACAAAGTGCGGTTGATCAGTCATTGTGGTCCACTGTACTGTCAGGCCTTAACACTGCAACTCCGTTGGTGATTTCAAACACCAACCTAACTACCTAAGTCTCAATACCAGTACCTGCAGCTAAATTCTTTACTGAGATTTTCACAATCCACATACACGTGTATGTAGTTGTCGCGTTCGGATGTCTATCAGTACTTGGAATAGATGTCGGATTCAAGTACGATAGGACACGTATCTGAGGGCTGACGCCATCTTTATTATTTACTGATCTACCGTGGTACGCGGAGTGGTCTGAATAGAACTGCACTGTGCTATCGCAAAGTAGTGCAGTATGGGCAAGGCCCCTATGGTGAAATAATTATGCCTGATGAGATCATGTAACAGTAGTTTTTGATGCTATTGTACATGCACGTAGGGGTGAATTTTTACTGCTTCATAATATTACTAGCATGGGTCTTCAGCTTCTGCCATTCAATGCTATGGTGACCTCTAATTGACTTTATAAAATTTCTTTATTCCAGATACTCACTCACACACACTCACACACAC